GGAACGTAGATCGACTGGTAAACTGAGAGCTTTGTTCGAGAACTCAGCTCCCGTTTCACTACCATGGGACAGTACAGCACCTGCATCACTGCGGACGCCGCGCCGAGCATAGCTCAGGTCCTAGGGTTGCCGCCATGACAGGCACCAACTGCCCTCAGGCCACAGCTTTTCGCAGCTGCATCGGCAATCTAGATCCTGAACATCGTCCACCCGGACTCAATGTCCATGAAATCCCCTGGAGTGTAGGAGAAGTTTGCCCGGAGGTGGCAGTTGAAATCTTTCTGCACTGGGTCTTCTGCCAGATGTTCCCAGAAAACCCACACTATTCGTTTGGGCCTTCCACGTCTATCTGGTTGGTGCCCCAGGCGTCGGATACAACTTACCACCAGTTGGTGATCAGTTGACAGCTCTGTCCCTTTCTTCACCCGAATATCCAGAACATATGGCCTTAGGTCCGATTAATTATACAACTTTAAAGTCAATCATTGACCTTCGGCCCAAGGTGCTCTGGTTACCAAATACACTTATGAGCATCCTTGTGTTCGAATATGGTGTTTGTTATTGACGTTCTGTGACTAGCACATAATTCCAATAACATCTCACCATTCGGGTTCAGATCAGGAGAGCCATTCCTCCCAATGATGCCTCTCCAGGTATCTCCATCTTTTCCTAGGTGAGCATTGAAGTCGCCCAGTAAGTCTATGGAGTCAGTAGGCGGCACACTGTCGAGCACTGCACCCACCATCTCCAAGAAGGCCGAATACTCTGAACTGCTGTTTGGTGCATAAGCACAGACAACAGTCAGCGTTTTCCTTTCTGAGACCCGAAGTCTCATTGAGGCGATCCTCTCATCTACTGGGACAAACTCCAACTGAACAGCCCCCAGCCGGGGGGCTTATGAGTATCCTCACACCCGCCCGGGGCCTCTCACCAGGGGTGACTCTGGAATAGGAGGGACCACCTCCAATCGCTAAGTTTGGTTCCAGTGCCATTTCTGTGTGTGGAGGTGAGACCGACTATGTTGAGTCAATACCATTCCACCTCCACCGGCTCCAGCTCCTTCCCCCCGAGCGACGTGACATTCCACATCCCAATAGCGAGTGTCCATTTCCAAGGTCCTCTCCCTGCCATAGTGGCATCGCACCCGCCCCTCATCCTTCGTACTGCGGATAGTGGGCCCACAGGATGGCGCCACGTAGCCATTTCAGGCTGGGCCTGACCGGGTTACGTGGGGGGCCACCCATCCACCAGGCACTTGCCAGTGAACACCACCCCCAGACCTGGCTCCAGGGGGGTGTCCTGGTATACCTTGTCTGGGTGAGGTTCTCTGATTTTTATATTTCAGAACCATTCATAAGGGGCTTTTTGTTTGGACCGCTATTTGTCTGGAAATTCCCCCCAAGGGAGACCCTACCAGGAGTACAAGACTCCAGGCGACATAGCTCTGGGGGTCATCGAAACGCACAATTCCCACCACCACAATAAGGTTACGATCCTTCAGTCGGGTCGCTGTGATGTCTCCTCCGTATTTGTGGATCGGCCATTGCGTCGTTAAACATTGTACGGTTTGTTCTGAATGACCACATTCGCACACTGCAGAGTTTTTAATTTTCCACTTGTGCATCAGGTATCCGCATCTGCCATGGTTTGTGTAGTGTACTGCGGCGATGTCACAGCTATCATGGAGTCGTGTCTCATCCAATCATAATGTGGGAGTCCTGTCATCCTGGCAATGTCACCAAGTGCTATACACGTTGTTGGAGTCGCTTAATGTTCAGTTCGAGGTGCATTTGAATGATGGCACGCTATTCTGCAGTTTGGACGAGAGAGAGAAAGACGTGCGAGTGTGGGCAGTCTTTTTAAAATTCAACTGTCATGGTACTCTGGATCAATATTGTTTTAAAGTGACGCAACAGCACCAAAATGGGGTTTTGGTTGTTTCTTCCTTTGAAGGCATGCCAGAATAAGTAAGGAAAGAGCCGTGTTTAATGTTCCAGAAATGCCATATTAACCCCAAATCATATAATTTCCACACCAGGCATGGAGTGAAAAATTAAGGTAAACAATTTAAATTTCAAGAAGTAAAAACATTCATAGAACTGGCCCTGATCAAAATATGTAGGTGCCACGGTGGCGAGATGTTAACTACCTTGGCTGGTATAAAAGAGGTGGTGGGTTCAATCCCAACCCTGACGCCTGTATATTTGGAGTTTACATGTTCACCCTGTGGTCATGTGGATTTGTCTCCGGGTCCTCCCGTTATTCCCTCCACATTTAAAAACATGCGTTTAAGAGTATTTGGCTGCGATACATTTCCACATGATAAGCCACTACGTTGAGCTATCAATTGTAGCCAGGTCGCTTCTGAAAAAGAACTACTGTATGTAGCTCATTGGGCCTTACCTGGCTAAATAAAAATAGTAAAAACGAAAATCTTAATCATTAATTATTTCCCAATAAAATTGTTTATTAATAATTATTTATTTCACAATAAAGCCACACTGAGTCCACTGCTCAAGTAATTGCTACAACAGCATTGTATGGTGGAATATGCATAATAAAATGAAAATGTAGCTGCTAATGTTGTTACGTAAATGCTTTCACAGGTATCGTGCTCTCAGAGGTGTGTGATAAAAATTTTAAGGGCTGTTATTGTCCGATGGAAATAAAAATGTTAGCGTTTTATGTGTAAAAGTAATAGTTATTTTGTCTTACAAACTTAAAATTACCACGTAGCATAATATAATAAAAACTCATAGCAATGTCTAAAAAGAAGATGTATATCACTTTCATACTGGTAATAAACCACACTCCAAATGGCCACATTTGGCTCCAACGTCCTGTTTACAAGTGCAGTCTATTCCAATTTCAACTTGGAAATTCAACGGATCCTGCATGCAAATGTGTTTTTAGGCAGCAACATGGTGGGGATATCAATTGGAGTCGAGAAAAGAGGTCCACAGCCATTGATTCCGGTCACAAACCGATTGCATTGTCAGTGTGTGAGCATGCAGGTGCTGCAGATGCATGTAGTCATCACATCGTGCACAAGGCTACAACAGTGAAAATGGAGAGTTTAGGTCGCCATTACAATGAAGATGATAAATAATTATAAGAGTACAGTAGCAATTATTTGCAGTCCTTTCTCAATCAACTGCTTTATGAAAATGCGCAGCACACAGTGTTGGCAATTTGCGGGGGTGTTTAACCATACTTCACCATGCGGGTCGGTGTTCTTTGGTAAAGGGGGCTTCAGGACCAGTTTAAATATTACCCTCCATTGATGTTAACCATGATTGGTAATAAAACTCGGGTCAGAAGGTACATAGTGCAGTGTACTCCGAATTGATGGCAATGCTCCTCCCAGATAGTGAATATGTTGCGTTGACTGGACATGACATCTGGGAAGCTAGAGTCGGGAAATTCTACTTTAGTTTCTAGAGCACACTAATTGAATGTTGTTGGTTTAACACCATTGTAATGATATGCAAATTTCACATATTACATTTGTTGTTATAACGTATTCCAGTATACAGTTGATTTATTGCAGAATATGCGAAAGCAAACATTTGCATCGTCTACCTGCTCCTGGCTATGTCACGGTGCTAATATATTTTGGCAGCCCTGAAGAATGGAAATTCCACATACCTATGGTAGGGGCCAGTCTGCCCACAGGTTCACCACTGTTAAGTTTTTACAATGTGTTACTCGTATTTACGAACTCCAGAAGACTAATAATACATTTAAATTACCCCCCAAACGGGGATTGGAACGTGCAACTTTAAAATTGTGAGTTGAGGGCTCTACACAGCACCATCCAGTCAGATGATGCTTTTGTATAATCTGATATTGTATTTCAATTTAATCTAGAAAATATGACCATACATAAAATTTTACACCGACATTGTGTTAAAAGGCATCGGACAGAACTATTTCCATGGTGTTTATGTATCATTGTAATTGTGTTCTTGTGGGATGTTTACTTTTTTGTTCCAATTATTTGTGCCATGTACAGGTAATCACTGTTGTTATTTAAAAGATAATTGGAAGTGTTTAAAGACTACACTTGATCAGTGGCACCAGTGTGAATATTTCCAGCTGTGACCTTTACCATCATCTTAACGGATGCAATGCTTGGCCTCACATTCTAAAAAAACAAACCACGTTCCAAATGATTAATTCCACACACGATAACCTAACTGTTGCCTTTAGCTCATTATCAGCAGCCTCTAAAGTCAACTTTCAGTCACAAACGTCCATTCTAAATGCATCCATTCTGAAATTTTCGATTTTCTTGTATATGTAAACTCTGCATACATTAAGCAATTCTCAAACAAAACAACCACGTTCAGCGTACAATCAGCGATGACCAACTTATGGTAACCAGAATGGAATACTTATTCTCTGTCTATCAGAATCCGAGCATGTGGCCGTGCGATAAGAGTGCATTGTTCACAATTGGAATTTCGTCTGAGGCCAACTCAGCCCACCATTTGTCTGTGGTCAGTAATAATAATAATGTCAAACTTGTAACACTCTGCACGGTATTCGCTCGCTCTCGAAGAGAGAGGCGGAGAGCCAGTGCCAAATTCCACCTACAAGCTCTGCAGTCCTCCACGTATCAAGGTGCTATCGGCAAATCGATTAGTGTTTATACGTGGGAGAAAGTCAGAGTTCCTGTAAAAAAAAACCCACGCATGCGCGGGACAATGCTGTAAGTACCCCATACAGATGAAACACTTGCTGTACTGCCATCTCCTGGAAAGCCAGAGCATGGAAACCTCAAAGTCCATGAGTGAGAAGGGAGTTTCACGACATTGTGTGATTCACCAACCCTTGCCTCCACAGCGCTGGGCTATATCCTCCAAGTCCAAGTTCAGCACTCTCTCAGTTGCCACCCAGTCCTAACCTTACAGTCTTACAAATGTGGCTTCAGAGAGAGCAGAGTGAAAAATAAATGCTTTTGCTGATGACTGTGCCCTCTCCTTTGCTTGTTGAAGATGGACCCCATGCAGAAGGCTGTCCTCACCCATTCCTTTGGAGTCCCAAGTTCTGCCACTGCGTCTGCACCCAGGAGAAGACACGTGCTGTGCTGCAACATCTGCCAGATCCGCTTCAACTCTGAGGTCCACCTCTCACCCTCCTGAGTGCCACGTGTGAAACTGTTGGGCATATGGGGCTTTACCTAAAATGTATACTCACAGTTCAAATGGAAGTTGGTGTAGATAGGTCCAGCTTGTTTTAGAATAATAAATCTGCCTAACACTCCACTCCCGAACTTTTCGAAAGAGTACCGAAACAAAATGTAATGTTATAAAATTTTGACCAGCTAATTAAGGTTAAGCTTAACTACAGAGCACACTGTGATTCAGGTTAACATTTAGGCCAGTTGACCTTTCCTCAGAGAGTGCATTGTGTGATGAGAAAGTGCTCGAGATGAACATGGTAAGTTTTCCTGGCTTGGATGTCTAAAGCCTCTAAATACGCCTACATCAATATGCTGTACAGGGAGAGCAAATGCGTGACTCACGAGGGTATGATGGGAGGAGGGTGGGGTATGACAAAGTAGAGAGGATTATTTTTGCAATGTACAGGATTTCCTCGTTATTCGTGAGGTGTACATTTCCAAACACGATTGCGAATGGTACGTTTCGCAGATAATGATATTGGCCTCGGAAATTAATCACCATAAATAAATACATAAATAAGCTATCAAATCATGAAAATTATCATAATACAAACTAATGGTACGTGAAATAAACTTTTCATACTCTAAATATATTAAAGTATCTCATCGCGTCATCTCTCATTACATTCTCATCACTTTATCTCATCACTTTCTCACATCACATTCACTCTCATCACTTTATCTCATCACTTGCTTTTTCTCCTCTCTCTCTCGATTAAGTTGTGTATAGTTCTAAATGCGATTCGTGGATAGCCAAATTCGCAGATAGCAAGTTCGTGAATAGCGAACGAATACCGCACTACATTTTTAAGGGGCGGGGACCAGAGCCGGCCCAGCCACTAAGCGACCCTTGCAATTGCAAAGGGCCCCGTGGCCAGCAGAGGGCCCCCTAGAGTCACTGCTAGCTAGTGGGTGAAAAAAGCATACATCAAAGGGGCTTGCTTAGGGCCCCCAAAGGTCTAGGGCCGGTTCTGGCGGGGACAATGGGAGGAACGAACTTAAGCAGCACGAACAGCCGGCGGGAGGCATGGCCAGGAGAGACTCAGTATGGGGATATACTTGTGTCTCGGCCTCGCTGTGTGCTGCGTTGCACCACTACCCGAGTCGTTAACCTCGCAGTCATTAAAAACCTTCATAGCCAGGGTAAACACCCGACTCAAAACGTATTTAATTAATAGAACGAGGTAAAACTGATGGATAAACACAGCACAAAATGCAGCATATGTTAACTTGCAATATCGATACAATGAATGAACACAAGGAGCATAATAACATTGTCTTAGATAACATGAAACTCAACAATAGGTCCTGGATGGACCAGGCACCTACATTAGCACTGAATAGCTATACAAGAGAATAAGCTACTGTGTTTAATAAGGTCACATCGTGTAATCACTATACTGCAGCCTAAATGTACAGCACTGCACATAACACTGAACTGTGGATGAGATACTTCTTCATCATTGCTCTCAAGATTGCATTAAAGTTACATGGGTACAAGTCTGACTCGACTTATCCAATTACAAGTAACATTCACAATAATGCAAGTGGCAGGCTTCGTTGTTAACTAGGCCTCATTTATCATAACAATTTAACAGCATTGTAAAGGCATTTACAGCATTATAACGGTAATCCTAACATTATAACAGCATTCCCAGTATTATACGAACATAAACGAACTTACAGACAATGCTTCTTAAAGTTCCATAGTGAACAGATGCACCTGTCTTCACGTAGACGCTATTTGTGCCTCCATTTGTATTCTGTGTAATGGCTGACACCCTGCCTCATGGCTTAGAGAATCTTAAATCGTAACTTCCTGGTCACGTGACCAAATGCAACACCATATCAGGAAATTCCTGTGTACTCACACCCTCGTACCTGCCGTGAGACAGAACAACTTGGCTAATTAAAAGGCGATTTACTGAATTATTATTTTGGTCAGCTTGTGCAATCGTTAGAGCATGTGAACAGAAAATAAGAAGGTAGCAATTTCTAATTGCAGTCGGGAAGTGGCTCAGCCCATCATCTAATTGGAATGTTCACGATACTGCACGTTTAATACTGTAACGTGTATTATACCGTATGTCCTAAAACAGAGATCAACTGTGTCAACTGCATTTCATGAATGCGTAAGTTTATTGATCGTACTTGGATTTACCCGAAGTAACAATTCTATGCCGAAATACTCTTCCAATGGATTTGGAATTATACACACGCTCCATTATTTAACTAAGTTAAATGTAAGAATCTTGTCATATAGTTAAGGTAGTGAGCTACGTTTATATATAGCATGAGAAATCGTTCATACATCATCCCAATGGTAAAAAGAGCATTTAAAATGTTTAAGGTTGTAAATAAATCCATTAATAGGCATGTGAAGCAGTCAGCTTATAGACTCATGTGAATGTGCAAAATGGTCATTAGCTATATTATAATAACATTTTAGTCATTACTTCTTTCACCACAATATTCCCCCAAGTGTGAGTTGTTATTGCCACAATGTAAAAATAATCACAGGAACGGCTCCCAAGGCTGCCAAAACTCGAGTCAATAAGAGCAGTTGCTCGAGTATATTTTTCCAGAATCTGCCAACCTTAATGGACCTGCAGACCTGGAACATATTAACGCAAAGTGCACACCGGTGTAAAGTACTGAAGTATATTTAATTTGAATGCTATTTTATGTTAACACTCTAATGTAATTTGTCCTAAAAGACCTATAGTAACCCCGACAAAGGCATTACCGTGTATTCAGGTTCCCATTAGGACCTTTAAAAATGGCAATGTTGTCAAATGTTTTTTATTCACAGATTCCGGCCTAATATTCATTTTAAAAGAAATTATTATTTTATGCGACTCATTGTGGAATGGAAGCAGATAACTGCTTAGTGAATTTGGGGAATAATGGGTCGCTATGGACTCAAATACTTTTCTCACAAAACCGTGCCCCAAAGCGTAATAGACGAGATTTTACATGATGGCCAAAAGCTTTCCCAAATCCATGTGTGGCCAATACCACGCAAAAAATGCAACCATATCCCTACTATCTATGTTAATAGAGTGTGGCGGTGTTCTTCATTTCAAGGCCCGTGGGCCACTGGCAGCCTCTGGTGTTTTTTTATGTGGCTCCTGACGTGCGGTCCCAGACAAAACACAAATGTGAAAACACCCCATCATGCTGTCAAACCCAATGGTTTCAAATGTGTGGCGGCCCTCACACCGATGTCTTATTGACAAAAGCGGCCCCCCTCTGAAAGTTAGTGAAGAAGACTGCCTTGGGGCGTTGTTGGGGTGGAGACAATTATTGGGCAAGCGTTTTCACAAATTTGCAGAATGTCTACCACTCTGCCTTAATGCCCACCCGTTCTGGGCATTCCTCAATTTCACAATGCAGAGCAGTGGAATGAGGTATTTTTGGCACAAAATATGTCCATGCTGAATTGAAAATTGTGGAAATGTGGCCGATTTTCTGACAAAAAATTGTGGTCGTACTGCAAATTTGTGAAAACGTTTGTCCACCATTGGCTCCACCCCAACAACGTCCTAATCCAACCACATTGTCACTCATAATATATATTTTTTTGCAAGGGTAATAGGGGAATGCTTGCATTTTTTTGAGTGGAATTTTTCACACGTGGATTTGGAAGTGCTGCATGAATTCCATTCATGTGAAAACACTTACTGTACCATTTCACCACTTTTTCGCAGAAAGATGGCCAAAAATAGCAAGTGAATTAGGCCCTTAGACACTTAGGAAAGATTAACAGATGCGCACCTTCAGATACACACAGACTCACACACAAAGACCAACGTAGAGTGGCACATATACACACACAAACGTGTAGACATATGCATGCACACAGGCACATCCATTTTAACTGATGCAAATATTTACAAAAGCCATGCACAGTGGCATTTAATATCATTTGTCTTTCCTAAAATATATTGGTTGTATATATGTGCTCAATATCGAAAACACGCTTCCAAATTCACCTTCCAAACATTGTTGGTTGGCCTTTTTGTTTCATCTAATCGCATATTTAGAGAATACACACATACACACAAAACATACAAAGACACCAACGTGATGACACCAATCACCTATATAGCCTGCGAGGCAATTGACATAATTCACAGGGAACCGCACTGCGCTATCAACTCGGTGACCCAAATTAAATTCTCAGCCACAGCAAATATCAGTGGCACCTATTCCAAGACTTCTCAGGTCAATTCAGCATTAAAATAGTTCGTGGTACAGTGTACACATTAGCAATACTGCACACCTGTAATCCAGGGCTTTGGAAGTGGAGGTTAGTGGCTTGTCGAGAAACAGGGGTTGATGGATTTGGTGGATCATGAAAATATGGCTGTTGGTGGATTTTCATTGGCTACATCAGTATTGTTGGCTCCATTGTCATGATAATCATCATTGCCATCATTACCAACATCATTATCATCATCATTGACAGAATAAGAATAGGTTTTAGCCTTTCTGGTAATAAAATAAGTGTTAAGATATTGAAACATCAAATTTAAAGCTTTTGCAAGGAATCATGTCTGGATTAACCACATGTACTTGTAGTGAACATGTGAACAAAACATGCTCTGATAACTATATATGGATTGTCTTTTAAACGGATTGGTCTACACCGGAGACAGCCTTCTTGAGGGCCTAGTCTCACCAGTGTCAGACCAGAGAATGCCAAACGGCGACAAGTACAAAGACAATGCCACTATCAGGGCATAGATATAGGTGCCAGTATCAAAGTATGGAAACATAAGAATCGCTGTCATAATAAGATTTTTTGTCATCATAATCATGTTTCATTTATCAAAGACAGCTTAAGCGCTACAAAAAGACAGCTTAGCATGACAATTCCGCACCTCGTGAGACAGTGGAACAACACGCAGACACAAGAATATCATCAAGTGTACGTGTGTGCACATATTCACTTTAAGATGTTTTTTGTTCATGTTTTTTGTTTTTTGTTTGTTGCGGTTGCACCCGATTCAAGAGCTGAATGGCTCACAGGGCTATACCTAATAAATGAACTTGAACTTGAACTTGAGCAGAGTCTGATTGGTCAGTTCGGCCAGACAGTGGGGCGAGCATGCTAAATTGAGCAAATGCACAATTATAAATTATATATGAATTGGGCCCTATAACTTGCAGAACATGTAATAAGCACGTTTGGGGAAAACACAGATATGACCTTTTCCAAGGTGCACCATCACTGGTGTGCTACTCATGGGACCTCCTTTGCAAGTACCAAAACATGAGAATAGGGTGTTCCCCTCTTTTCTGGCAACAAAACAGCTGTGTTAAGTTGTTAAAACACCAAACTGAAACCTTTTACAAGGAATCATGTCTGCATTAACCACAATACTTTTGGTCGAAATGCAAACAGAAAACATACTCTGATAATAGAGGACGCCTTTTGGCGTCCTCTGGTCTAACACCGTTTGAGACGAGGATCAAAAGAAAGCTCTCTCTGGTGTGGACCAATCAGTTTCAAAGACAATGCATTTATTATCAGAGTATTTTGTCTGTTTGCATTTTGACCATAAGTATTGTGGTGAATGCAGACATGATTCCTTGTAAAAGTTTTCAGTTTGGTGTTTTAACAACTTAACACCTGTTTTGTTGCCAGATAAAAGGGGAAAAGCCTATTCTCACGGTGTGCTACTTTTCCAAGGTGCCCCATCACTTCGTTTTAAAGCTTTCGTGACTGCAGGGATTCATATTCTTGGTTCTTTCGGTAAAGTCCCTTCCTTTATTACTGCTAATCCTACATAATACACTAGCATAATATGACTTTGAGACCCCCCACCGCCTACACATTCCACAAGGAGTGACTAACCCCATATCTGCATTTGTCATCAACTTGCTAAATTCCTCTGTTCATATGTAAACTCCTTTGTCAAGGAGCTCTCCTCTTCCCACCCAGCTTAAAATACGCTGCCAAGCTTAGCAGTGTTCATTAGGACGCTGTCTTTCTGACAGCTCTGTTTCTTCACCTGAGGACGGCTGCTTGCGTTGTGGCCGAAACGTCGTGAGAATTTGTATTATGTTTAATATTTATTATCTTGTTATTTCCCATCTACGTGACTTTACCGAAAGAACCAAGAATATGCCCCATCACTTGTTGTGTGTGCAGAGCCAGTCAGTGGCCCACTACAAGGGCACCAAGCACTCGAGGAGGCTGCAGGCCCTGGAAGGTGGAAAAGAGGCACCCGGCAGCTCCGCCGAGGACAACAAAAATGGCCGCCAACTCAGCAGCCCACCTCGTCCTGCTGGTAAGAGATAACCCCGGTAGTGATAATATAATCATACCCATGCCCACTTGTGAAGGAATACCCCACCATTCAGTTAACATCAAGGTTAATTCAAAGGTTCTAATAAAACTACCCCTCTACTTGCATGGTCATTGGATAGTGTTCATATGTTAGAGATCCTAAGCCAGTGATTTGTAACACAAAAAATGAACAGCCCTTTATCATACTCTTTGGGTCTTTTGGTAAAGTCACGTAGATAGAAAAAAATAACGACGTTTCGATCGCAACACAAGCAGTCGTCTTCAGGTGAAATAAGTTATAATTAAAAATACTTTTTTTTAAACACGCTTTAATGAAACGTACCCTACTCGTAATTGCAGAACTCTATGACTCCAGGAAGTGACCGCAAAGCTTTCCATAACGTAAGGGACCGTGGTGATTTACAGCCAACGTCAGTTGAGCATGGACAATTAGACCCAAGCCGAAACATAACATATAAAAATGAATGTTTAAAAATACTTTTTTATTTTGTTTGATAGAATATAGTATTGTCATCGGTATGACATAAGTATACGAAGTTTGCAGTTGATACCACATTGGGTAGTGGGTTAAAATTGCATTACAAGATTTGAGGATATGACAACAACAACAGACATAGTGAGTTAAATAAAAGCGTGTAAAAATACAGTGAGAGAGCTGCTGAAGCAGGATGTTATATAGGCCTGAGATGGGTGCAGCCCAAGGGTAAGTGGGCGGGGCTAGAGATAGTATTTGCATGTATATGTAAGATGGGAGGGCGCCCTGAGGCTGTGAAGGTAGCCATTGTATTGTGAAAAAACGAGAGCCACCGCCACACCTGAAGACGATGGCTTGTGTTGCGATCGAAACGTCGTGATTTTTTATATATTTTTAATATCTATGTAACTTTACCGAAGGACCCATAGAGTATGAATTCCTGCAGTCACGAAAGCTTTAAGTCAAGATTTAACCCTTTATCAGTCCACTGCTGGATAAAGGCATCCCTATACTGTGTTGGTTATGGGGATTGTTTGAACAGACTTCACCACACTGCTCAGTGCGGATTGTCGAATACAATTTTTAGTTTATACCGGTAACCACCTTTGTTTGGCGGTTTGAATTTCGGTTGGATAGTCAATTTCCAAGTCTAAAAAAAGTATAATTAACTCCTCCCGTCTTCTTGCATGCATGTGTGTTCTGTAGTGTACCTCAGTTTCCCCCTGCACCTCCTTTTGTCTATCCGCATTCTAAGTTTGTCTTTCCGTTTGTCTCTGCATCTCTGCCACCAAACATCACCTTCACTTCCTTTAAGTATATATCCCAAAACCATTCCAAATTCGATACTCATCATCAAATATCTGTGGTTTCTGTATCCCACCATCTGGCTTTATGTCTTTCATTTGGTCAATTAATTCCATGTCCCCACTCAGTGACCATCTCAGGATAAAGCACTCATCACATCCTCCTCTTCTTTAATACGTACGCAATGCTTGCCGTGTTCTATCCTGAACTTTAAAGTTGTTTACTCTATACTGTATGCTGGTCTCTCTATAGGACTACCAAAGCAGGTGATTTTTCCATAAGGTGTTTATTTAGCCTTGGGTGAATTACGACCTGAGTCAATCCCTGACTGGGATTTGAATCCACAGCTGTGTAACTTGTTTTTTTTATATTGTTTTTTCGATTATTCGTTCGTTGTCCCTGTTTGACGTTAATTTCACTGTTTCGGCATTTTCCAATACATTGCTTTATTTCTCAGTCAGATCACCAAATTGTACAATAATGAATGGTACATTTGCAGCAATCATATATAGTTAATTTGTAATGCCTATTGTGTGAGTGCAATTGTCTAATTGGTTATTCAATTAAGTATTATCTACAATATTTTAAAATGAATGTTCTCTTTGTTAAAATTAATGTGATTTCATTTCAGTTACTTGAGATATGAAAATGTCTTTTCTATGCAGCATCTAGGCTGCTAGTTTAAACAATGGCTCGGTAATTAAGCTAGTCGCTGACACGACAGTGAAAATTAAATAGCCTAAACAGCATATGCTGAGAGCTTGAGAGAATCTGTTTGGCTATAATGCTGACTGTGATTGCAAGTGTAATACCATCATTTGTCGTCTTTTCAGACACTTTTTTCATTAAAGAGCCCGAGGTGTACATTACTTCAGAGGCTGACCGAGCTGACATCTGGCCATGCTGAGAGTAGAAAATGACAATATTCGTTTTTAATAAGCTTCACGGCCTACGTTTTATCACCGCTACACTCCAAAACTTCAATTACAGTGGGGCTTCTTCGGCTTCCCGTCGACTTTTTGGATTCGCCGTAGAGAAAAAGAGAATGCTACCGCGAGATCTATTGGCATGCAAGTGGGCGGTAGACGGAGCAACGGGGCAATGGTGTCGCACTCTTGAAGCTTCCTAAAAGACAACATGCAAAGAGAATCGGTGGAGACCTGCGTTGGGCCCAAATATTCGCTTCTGCTCAGGGTGATTCCTCACAAGTCACGGGGAATGGGTATCGGTGAAATCAGATGGCTTCGTTACGTAACCAGCTGCACTTTCTGGGCCACTTTAATTATTGAGGGCGTGAAGTCACGCACTTGGGTTGACAGAAATTTGCCCGTTCTGGTTTTTATCAAAACGAGTAACCATTTGTCATATAAAAAAATATATCAAATGGGTTTTCTATATGGTGTAAAAAATATTCTAAATTGTGTGTGGTGCAATACACCTTTAAATGTGATTGAACAGTGATATAAAAAAAATGTGTATAAGTGTCTTCAAGGCAAATCCATGAGAAATAAAACAAGAAAAATAATCTCACAGTAGCATGATGTTATCCACACAACAAATATTGGTTACCATTCTTTGACATGAAGAGGTTTAAAAAAAAAATCGGTATTTATTGTATATGTTGTGAAATTCAGACTCATGACCTGATAAAAAAAATATGGAACATGCCTTGAGTGACCTATCAAAAACGTCAGCCTTCCTTTCAGAATTGCATTCGATGAAGCGAAATCCCATTATAGTACATTCTATATGTCTCCATTGGGAGCTACTAGCCAATTCTGAAAATATGCATGACCTGCACCCATGTAAACCATTAGGACCGCTGTGTAAATGACGTGATATCCCTCAACCACGCTTCTTGATTAAAATATTTGGAACATCCACGGTAATATATATTTTTTATGTCTTTCAGTGTGCACGGATGGCTATTGCTCATATCATCAGGCCGCTCGTTAGAATTGGTTTAAGATGCCACACTAGTGCCAGTGTTTATGATGGGGTGGTCTACGCAAGGTATGCATACCGGCCAGAATAAACCATACGGTATATAATGTACCGGTGAAATAAATAATATTAATGTAAAGTAAATGCACGAAAACATAAAACGAACTCGAAAAAACCGGTTATATACATTACTGTTATGTGTATATTACGCGCATAATGACACCGTTTGCCAACAAAGTTTAATGCATGTTGAACTTCTGTTGCACCGTACATCACCGATCGTGCTAATCGGAGGTGCGGGGGAAGGACAACAAACTAAACATGATTTGGTAGTGAGTTGAAGCTGATCCAGCACTTGTCTTGTTTAACCTACAATATTTAAAAACCTAGTATTATATTTTAATGTAGCACTCTTCAGTACCTCGGCATACAAACATTTGTAAGCCTAGGCTCAAAACAAGTCCCAAATGTTGCCTCACCCCCATTTTGGGTGACCCAAAAGCACATTATTTTTTTGGATTGTGCCAAATGTCAGTTTTCTTACCCTTCTATAACACTATTACAATTCACGTCATTCACTTGTTCACTCGCGTACTCAGAATTGTATTTTTATGCAAACTTTCATTCCCGATGAGGATGGTAGAGGTATTTAAAATGCAGCACTGGTGGCTACTGAGCCTTGGAGCGAAGGAAATGCCAAATGGGTCGTCAGCGTAGCTTAATGATCACTTCCCCCGTTGGAGTAAAGAAATAACGAGATGGTTGACTGTGATAGAACTGAAAGGTCAGCAGTGATTGAGCCTCAGTTGTAGACTCACGTGTTTTTAACACATGCGTGATCACTTTGGAAGCGTCTCTTGTTCATTACGATTAAAATAGCTGATATTCCTTGCCATTACACGTAACTCGATATGTCATTGTTCCATTGCATGTTACGTGTTCTTAGCATGCGTGATTACCAAATGGGTTTGATTCTTTTTTACATTAAAAACAGATTAAACATTCGCACGAATGATATTATTGTACAAGATATTTAAATACGTATTTAATCAACCATTTGAAGATCCTTATTAACCTTGTAGTAACAATGCGTTTTCCTCTAATTAGAGCAAATGTGTACAAATATTATCATGCATTGTTATACTTCATGGTAATGAAGCAGTATAGCAAGGATGACAAAATAGGAAAATTGAAGTGATATAATTTAAAAGTTTCTGATTACATTTCGACAAACATGCTCTTTGTAAATAGTTCAATATTCATTATAAACAGTGGTTCTTAGATAACACAAGCATCTATCTGAAGAGCAGAAGCTCTGTTAAATAAAAGTTGCTAAGGGCAGTTAGTGGTGCCGGGGGAATGCAAACAGCAGAAGCTGCCAGACGTCCACCATTTAAAATTATCTGTTGAATAATTTCGTATCAAAGAGTGTTCAGTGTAAGTTTTTTTTTTTTTATGTCACATTCTATGAGTGTTTTTTGCTGCCCTATTGTAGAATGTACCATGTGATCTGGTAATGGTATCGTATCGCCAGTATATTACAGCTTGAGAGTAGATATATGGATAATATTTTCATAGTACGCATTCAGCGCTCCAATATATTTTATTGTAGTTTTGCCTAAGCCTTGGGCAATCACTGTAATTCAAAGGGGATCCTTAGAATTTGATTTCATGCCATGCTGGTCACCTACATTAAAAAAAATATGGACAGCAAATTTAAAAGTAAAGAGCATACAATGAAAGTCCTTTGTTGCAGT